TTGGCTCAGTTTTTAATGAGCTGTGTAGCCCCGTGGTAGTTCATCGAAGTTCCTGTCAGAATATCTGCTTGCTCATACATCCCCGTACAGCAAGCAGATATTCTGACAGGTCTGCAGGAGACCTGCATGGCATCTGTGATCTACTGATCACTGGTACAATGCCTTCCAGGCTCCTTTGGACAAATATAATAAATGCACATTTTTTTTACCTGCAAACAACTGTGCATTTAGTATTTTTGTCTAAAAGGTGATCTTATCCTTTAAAGTAGTTGTAAACCTCACAGATGAAATATGAACAAATCATATCCCTCTCAATTAGGAGCACTAAGTGTCATTTCTGTGTGCTGCTTTAATGCTCTATCTGCATGAGTCACTTCTGACATATTTTCCTGACACCAAGAGAAAAGTGGTGACAGAGGAAGGACCTCCAGCAGATTGACAGCCTCAGCTCTCTTCCTGTGTAAAGGGGGTGTCTCTCTTCCCCTCCAATCATCTCTCAGCGCTCTCCTCACTGAGCTCTACAAAGTGTAACTTCAGCTCACCTTCCCCTTTTTTCTCAACTCTTAGGCAAGCTTTATAATTTTAGCACTTTGAATGGATGTAGAGTGAAGACTGCAGATAGACAGATAGAACTTATATAGGAGATTTCTTTCATCTGTGTATTACCTGAGGCCAGTCACTTCATTGGGTATATGTAAGGGTTTACAACCACTTTAAGGAACTCACAAAATGAGCAAAACGTGCAGATAATGCAAAGGAGCCTCCATGTTGTTTGAAGATGTCTCACCGTTTCAGGGCTATGCTCCCGTTACCTCTCCTAGCAGTTTGCTTTGGGGTATCTGGCATTTCCTCTGTGCATATATCTTTCTATTCAGCGCCTCAACTAATTAGGTGGAACCAGGACCTGAGGAAAGGGTATAGCCCTGAAAACGTAAAGGCGTATAGCTCTTATTAGCTCTCTGGATAGTGGCCTCAGGATTACCAAAGTAGTGCAGTGAATCATATGTATTTGGAAATATTACTTCAATTCATTATTGCACCCTCAAATACTGTTAGCTATATTTACATCCTTAGGGCGTGTATACATTTTTTCCCTTGTTATAAACTAGCCCACATGCTTGTCAGCTTCAGTATATGAAAAGTGGCCAAACAAAATAGAGCCCACACCTCTTAAAACACCATTGTAACAAGGTAGTTCCTCCATTCACTGTAATTGTTTGTTAATAATATGAATTACCCTGGTAGAGCAAGGAAAACTCCCAGGAATCCTCAACTCCAGCAGGCCATTAGTGAATCTCTGTTCAGACTACATTTGACAGGAAGACAGTAAGAAAGGAAGGTAAAGTGCCCCCAACTGAAGTGAAGGCAGGGTTTTATCAGACTACACCATTTTCTTTTCACTTATCCCTGCTCTGTTTTTTCCTTTACCACAGCAAGCATTGAGGAGAATTTTTTCAAATCTGGATGAGCTGTGCATGGTAAACAATTGGCTTCAATCGTTCATTATCTTTAGCTTGTTTAACTGAACAGGATAAAGAGAGAAGCAGCACTGAAGGTTTTTTTTTAATGCATTAAATGGGAAAAACCTTAAGGCTTTAGAACCACTTCAAAAGTGAAAACCCTTCTGAGTGCAGCTTCCTCCGTCCAGCACCCCACCCCCCACCTTATACCTACCTGAGCCGCATCTCGATCCAGCGATGAGCATGGGAGCATTGGCTATCCTGGGCCTCTCTCCCTCTCCTCATTGGCTCACACAGCATTGGGATCCATTGGCTCCTGCTGCTGTCAATCACAGCCAAGGAGCCAATGAAGAGAGGAAGGGTCCAGGCTGAGCCACGCTGTGTGTGTGTGTGAATGGACAATGTCCACTCACAGGAGCAAGCCTGTTCAATTGCCCCTATAGGAAGAAGCTTGCTATTGGGAGCACTTGGCGGGAGGGTGGATACGGAAGGAACCAGGACCGCTAGTGGGGGACCCAAAAAGAAGAGGATTGGGGTTGCTCTGTGCAAAACCATTGCACGGAGCAGGTTAAAATAACATGTTTGTTATTTTAAATAACAGCAACAAAAAAAAAAAAAAAAAAAAATCAACCTTTAGAATCACTAAGTAAAGCTCTGCGCAAACTGTTATGCTATAATAACTTCAATATTATAATAATAATTTCTTTTAAAAAAGGGCAGTTTCTAACTCAAACAAATCAGAAAAACAGATTGACATACGGTCTTTGAAGCGTTTTTTTATGCACTCCACCTACAGGAAAGCGTGACTTCACAAACCAGATGACCACTTTGACTGAGTCGCCTACATGCGCTTGCCCTAAATTAATAGCTTTGGGTCATTAATACAATATGCAGTAAGATGGCCAGTGTCTGACTCTTGGCAGTGTAACAATTCTACAAGGGGCTGAATCTTGCAGAGTATAGTTCAGCTGAATCTTAAAGGGTTTGTTTGGGCAGCAAACAAAATGTTCCGTTGATGGCTAAGGTCTAGTATGAAGGATGAAGCAAAGTATTTTTCTACAGCTCTCTGTATGCACCAATCACTTTAAAAAGAAGGCTGAGGATTCAGATGCATACTGATAGACTGTAGTCTATTGACAGACAGAAGCAATGCAGAGGTCAGCCAATAGTATGTAAAGAGGAGGGAAATCTGGGCTTACACAATGCATCATCATTCTGCCTTTGACCTGGCTTCAGCTTGAATAAACAAAGTGTAAACAGCAAGCTTTTGCAGAGCATTTGCAGAGCTTTCAGCAAGCTTTATTGCAGCTTTTAAAGTACCATTCAGCGTCATTGTTGGACATTCTGAACCGAACGACACCGCACTGAACCTCTCTCCCACTGCAGATACTCTGGGTGTCAGCAAAAGGTGCCCATCCCCACTCCTAAAATCCTGAGACAGTAACTAAATTCAGGCCACACACAGATAACGCACACAGATAACGCATTTCACCCTATGAGGCGTCCCATAAGCCCACTGGGGTGAAACGTGTCAGAAGCGATGGTTTCCAGGCAGGAACATGTGGTATGCTGTCTGTGGCAGGAAGAAGTGATGTCATTGGTGTGCATTGCACTGTGTTTCCATTCAGCTTCCGTTTGGGAATGTTAAACATCAATCTTAATAGGAGAAAGGTCATTGAAAACAAGCTGCTTGCAGGTATTAACACCATTTGAAACCTGTTAACAGCCTGCAAGTAGCTTGCTTAAAGTGACAGCATGTTCTTTGAGATCTACGTTTAACATTTCCAAGCAGAAGCAAAAGGATGCTTTAAGGGTTCATTCACACAAGCCGTTGGGGGGAGGTAAAACCCAAGGTTGAGTCACATTTTTAACACCTTAACCACTACCCCCTTTAGCTGCAGCGACTAAGAATGTACACAAACCATGACAACAGCAGGAATTATACCCCCTGTTGCTTTCAACCGGCTCTACGTGAACATGGCTCATCTACAAGGACCCTGCAGCCATGTGCAATGCACGAGGCTGCGATACACAAGCGCAGGGATCAAGTGTTAATGCAGCCAGATGAGGAGGAGATGCAGACAAAAATGATATACAATGAATGGGGCCACCCTGCAACTGTGTGCAATGCACACAGTTGCAGGGCGCTAGTGCTGGGATCCAGGTGTTGAAGCAGGCAGTGAAGAGGCGATACAACACCTCCTCACTGCTTGTGAAATGCTCTCTGAAGAGTGCTGCAAACGCGGATCTCTCTTCAGAGACCAAAGCTACTGTGAACAAGTCCTAAAGATTTCAAGAAAGCTGCTTGAAGCTTTGCAAAATTGCCGAAAGTGTCATAAAAGCTTGCTGTTCACACTGCTCTTATACAAAATTAAGCCCATGTGAACTAGACCTTTGGGTTCTACTATTCATATCTGCAAAATGCAGCCTTTAGGAAACATTTTATAGTCTAGGTAGTTCTAGCAGCAAGCCAAGGCTCATTATCAGATAAAAGTTAACAATGGTCTATTCTTCCTGACACAAACCCTCTAAGAATCAGCATACAGACACTGCATCATTACCTGGAATGTTAGGTACATAGTATATGTATGGTGTTTATACCCCACTGTATAAAATACTGACAATCAGGGCTTCTGATACATAGGTGCTCCAGTATGTTTGTAATGTGTGCAGTCTCAACAGAACAACCACATGGTGTACCCCTTCAAAGCATAAAGTGCAGCCTTTAAAGTGGGACTCCAGCCAAAACACTTTTTTCTAGTCTTGCAGAGTGTGGACAGGTTGGAACCTTTAAGCTTTTTATTGACATCCGTGTTCTCACTGGGTAGACTTCTGCTCACCTCCTAAATTGGAGGCAGGGCAGGAAGGAAGAGAAAAAGTCTCCAAAACATTAAATACAAAGGAAATCCAACCTTTGACATCCATCAACAGGTGCCTCCATTTCTCTACCCCTGTTCCACTGGCAGCTCTAAGATTCTGCATTTACAGATATCACCAGCATAAAAGTGACATTGAATCTCTTCAATTGGTTTACATACAGCACAAAGGACCTGACTGAGGCTCTACCCAAAACTAGGAAAAAGTTATGGCTGCAGTTCCATTTTAACTATCTATACTGAAAGGAGCCAATTTGCTGGTTGAGCAACAGTGGGGAGCAGCTGGTCAATGACGGTATCTCAGCTCAGAACCCACAGATTATATTATTTCACACAGCAAAAAAGCACCATGTGCTGGCAGTAGGCATTTGTTGGACTGTGAAATGCACCCACCTATAAAATAAAAAAACAAAACAAAAAAAATAAAAATATAAGTAAATACAAAAATATTGCCCCAGGAAGTGTTAGACGTGTATACGCACATGAAAAAGTGAACCTCCGTGAATACTTTTCTTGTAACCCAAATACCGCCGGTAAAGTCTTTCGCATACTTGCCTGGCTGTAGAGTTAAAATTGGCTTATGTTTCTTAATATTTGGTAAAAACTCGAAAACAAATTCTTAAAAATAATCCTGAGTGTTGAGGAGCAGCGAGCCCCACCCTCGTCATATCATGGCAATCCTCTCAGGATTACAGTTGAGGTGGGTAGATGTGCTGCTGCTTCCTGGAGACTTGCAGCTGCGAGCTGAGGAGCTCTGCAGAGCGGCCATGATGGTGTCGCTGGAGACCGAGCCAAACTCATAGGAAAATGTTCCATAGAAGACCAAGATATCCAGTACAAAGATCCACTCACAGATTGCAGCCAAGTGCTGAAGGAGGAAGCTTTCATGGATGAAAAAGACCCCACCTGGAAGCAATGTTAAGGAAGACAGACTTGACATTTACTCAGAACCAGAACAGAAACAACCCTAAAACCCATTCACTTTATTTCACGTGGACAGGGATAGGAAGACTTAAAAATGAAACCTGTCATGAGTATTGTCAATTTTTTCATTCTGAAATGTTAGCTGCCTAGCTAATATATTTATTCAAAAATTCAATAGTTCCAGTCACTGACCCAAAACATCTATGCAGATCCACCAGTATGCTTTCCCCTGATTTTACTGGCTGTACGTTTGTTCCAGGTCAGTGACTCAGGAAGCATTGGGGACAGAGGCAGACAAGGAACCAGCATTTCAGACATTGGCACACAATGGCAACTTTATTTCTCCTATCATGTTTTCTTGTCATTCAGGGCAAAGTGATGACATGTTCTCTTGATAGCCCATTCAGGGCAATATTCTATGTTTTATTGAAGGTTTAGGGTTCCCTCTATGGCATCCTTCTTTAGATACCCAGCTCTGGCATCATCCCAGTCTGTGTGAGTAACCTAGAACAAGCACGCAGTGAGTGAAATCACATCACTTGATATGTATGCTTGTTATTGGTCTGTGACTCTGAAGTCACTGCAGTAACATGACTGCCAGGCAACTTACATGCCCAGGAAGAGATAAGAAATGGTGGCATATATATTTTTGTATTAATATTCATTTCTCTAGCCATTCGCATCACCTGTTCCTTCGATTTCTAATAATGAAATTTCAAGATGATATTCCGAAGTGGTCTTTCAGGTGGTCTGCGGCCTAAGGCCCTATGTATCCTATCTATCTCCAAACAATCCACCGGAACATCAGGGATCAGTTCTTGCAATAAGGATAACACCGAGCCATGGAGATCTGTAATAGTCTCAGGAAGGCCCCTGATACGAATATTACTGCGACGAGCTCTATTCTCAGTCTTTTCCAGTTGATTCTGAAAGAGAATGTAATTCTGCCTGTATATTTTCTATATCACCCTCATGGCCATCCAGAACTGTAGTAACATTATCCATTCTGTGTTCTAGAAGAGCAGCCCTCATTTCTAAGTTCTCTGAGTAAATCTGCTGATAATTCGCAAGAGCTCTCGCCAAGTTCCTCCCAAACAATCACTGGAATCTTACCCAACAGAACCGAATCTTGATCCATGCAGGATGGCTGCAAGGCAGAGGGGAACTGTAAAGAGCTGTCAACTGAAACCTCAGAGTTTCCCAATGACTGCCTCGTAGTCTCATCTGCAGGGGGGGGGGGGGGGGGGGGGGCGACGACATCTTGGAAGGGAGTCGGCGCTGCGGCTTAGGATCAGCCTGCTGCTTGGACTGGACCCGATCTGGAGGAGCCATGGCCACTGTTCACTCCCCCACACACTCCAATACCTGCGGAGACTCGATGGGCTCCTTCTAGCTGGAAGGAGAGGAGGTGAAGCGTCTGGGGTGAGTGGAGCTAGCTCAAATCGCGACCATTGGGCCGCTCCACGCATATGCCCCCTCACACACAATGTTTCAATACAAAGCAAGACACATTTGCAAAAGGATACTCAGGACAAGGGATGCTAAGGCCACAATGGTCAGGCTTACACGCAGGTGTCCCACCCAATAGTCTAGTGTGCTAGTGGCCAGATGGTAGGTAAGGATGCAATGTAGGCATACAAACAGCAAACCAGCTGGGAATGCCACTCCTGCTCCGATATAATGCAGAGACTTGGCGTAATCCACCTGCCAAAGAAACACACAAGAGTGACTTAAGACAAGATTCATTCGCACCTAATCAAACCAACAGAGCACAGGGTAACTTGAGGCCTGTACTCCAACTGTTCTCCCCCGTCTGTCTTTGTTTACAACAGACATATCTCATTCCAGAAGAGAAAGCAAGTAACAACACCCAATGACAACCTGCTGTCTCAAACACATTCTATAGCTGATCCCCAGGCAGATGCAAAACACACAAATTAACATAGCTCTGTATTCACTAAAACATCCTGATTAAATTATTTTTTATTTCAAGTACTTGACTTCCTCTTGAAATCCCCTGTATCGCAAAGCTTAAACTTGGTCAGATGTTAAAATAGATAGCCTACAAGAAGTCGATAGGAGATGAGCTCATCAGTGTGTACGTACACACACACAGGAACACTTTTTAAATCAGAGTATAGCATCAAGTCAATTAAACTCCTGGGATATTGATCTGGTCAGTTAAGTAGCAGAGGGGGGTTGTTAATCAGTTTCAGCTGCACAGGCAGTCCAACTCCTCCAGGATGGCACATCTATATGTGCCATTGCCAGAATGTTTGCTGTGTCTCCCAGCACAGTCTCAAGAGTATGGAGGAGATTCCAGGAGACAGGCAGTTACACTAGGAGAGCTGGACAGGGCCATAGAAGGTCCTTAACTCATCAGCAGGACCGGTATCTGCTCCTTTGTGAAAGGAGGAACAGGATCAGCACTTCCAGAGCCCTACAAAATGACCTCCAGCAGGCAACTGGTGTGCATGTCTCTGACCAAACAATCAGAAACAGACTTCATGAGGGTGGCCTGAGGGTCCGACGTCCTCTAGTGGACCCTGTACTCCCTGCCCAGCACCATAGAGCTTGATTGGCATTTGTCATTGAACACCAGAATTGGCAGGTCCGTCACTGGCGCCCTGTGCTTTTCACGAATGACAGCAGGTTCACCATCAGCACATGTGACAGACAAGAAAGGGTATGGAGAAGCCCTGGAGAATTGTTTTTTGTGGTGGGTCAGTGATGGTCTGGGGAGGCATCTCCATGGAGGGACGCACAGACCTCTACAGGCTAGACAATGGCACCCTGACTGCCATTAGGTATTGGGATTAAATTGTTGGACCAATTGTCAGACTCTACGCTTGTGCAGTGGGTCCTGGGTTCCTCCTGGTGCACAACAATGCCAAGCCTCATGTGGCGAGAGTATGCAGGCAGCTCCTGGAGGATGAAGGAATTGATACCAGTGAATGGTCCCCATGCTCGCCTGACATAAATCCAATAGAACACCTCTGGGATATCATGTTTCGGTCCATCCACTACCGCTAGGTTACACCTCAGACTGTCCAGGAGCTCAGTGATGCCCTGATGCCAATCTGGGAGGAAATAACCCAGGACACCGTTTGTCGTCTCAATAGGAGCATGCCCTGACATTGTCAGACATGCATACAAGCACGGGGGGGCCATACAAACTACTGAGTACCATTATGAGTCGCTGCAATGAAATTTCAACAAAATGAACTAGCCTGCTGCATAATTGTTTCCCTTTGATTTTCGGGCTCTCTTTGAATTCAGTCCTCTGTAGGTTGATAATTTTCATGTATGTATGTATGTATGTATGTATGTATGTATGTATATATATATTATTTTTTTTTTTTTTTTTTTTTTAACAGTGCAAGGCCCTGGCACTGTGTGAATATAAGTAAAATAGTCAGGAAAAGGACACAGGGTTTGCACATTTGCTGAGTGCAGGGATATGGAGCATAGATTTTGAGTGGAGAAAAAAACTGCTTTTGCAGCAGCTTTCTCTGGAGTTCGGTATTCCCAGATTGGGCTCCATAGTTTGGATATTTCAAAGTGCCTTGGGAGGGAAGAAATTTCCAACCCAGTGTCCTGGTGTTGTGAACAAGCAGAAGGGTGTGTACCCAGGTGCACAAAGCCCTTATATGATGGTCTGCTGAGAGTTGAAGGAGGAGTGGCTGCCAATGAGAGAGTCTCTGTGTGGAGATAGATGCTGTGTGCATTAAGGAGCTCAAGGCTGTGTGTGTCCAAGAAGCTTGAGGCTGTGTGCATTAAGGAGCTCAAGACTGTGTTCATTCAAGAAGTCCAAGGCTGTGTGCATGGAATAGCCAGTGGTCTGGAAGACCAAATAAGTAGAGATACTGCTGACCAAAGAGAACCAGGTGGACTAGCATTTTCATTTGGATTCTGTGTATTTTGCAGGAGAAGAACCCCTGTGTAGGAAAGCTTATGTTGGACTTTGTTTTCTTTTTGCCTTTTTTAACCACTTGCCCTCCAGAGGATTTATCCCCCTTCCTGACCAGGCCATTATTTGTGTTACGGCGCTACGTTACTTAACTGACAGTTGTGCAGTCATGCAACGCTGCACCCAAATGAAATTTATGTCCTTTTTTCCCCACGAATAGAGCTTTCTTTCGGTTGTATTTGATTGCCTGTGTGGTTTTTATTTTTTGCCCTATAATAAAAGAAAAAAAAAAAAAAAAAAAAAAAGAAGGACTGACAATTCTGAGAAAAAAAAAACATTATTTTTTACTGTTTGCTATTAAACATGTCCAGTAAAAAATTTAAAAAGTCAAATTTCCTCATAAATTTAGGCCAAAACGTATTCTACTACATGTCTTTGATACAAAAAAAAACCCAATAGATGTAAATTAATTGGCTTACATGAAAGCTATAGTGTTTACAAATGGCAGTATATATACTGAGGCCGAGGCCACGAATAGCGGTGCGGGTAGGGCTTGCGCGCGCCCCCTACTCGGAAATGCAAATTCACGTGTATATATACACGTGATTTTGCGCATCCCTGCCACCCTGTAGCAGTATACCTGCTATAGGATGGCGGGAAAGCGGTTAACAAACAGGCCCTTAAATATAGTTCCTGACTGACATGAACTCACTTGAAGTGCATCTACCACTAGAGCTAATGATCCCCCATGTCACAACTATCACTTCTATCAGGGTTACAGGACTCACAGAAAGGAACACAGAGTTATAGGCAGAAGACCAATACTACGTGCAAAATGAAAAGCATTGTGTCCTTACCTGGAAATTCCCCACCATGACAAGTCCTGCTGCGTTGGTGCAACCAGCGATCAGGGCGACTGTGTTCAGCCAGGAGCCATGGCTAAGCTCGATGACCTGACTGTATCTCAGCAAACAGATCATCACCACTGAGAGAGAGGAGAGTCAGGGAGGAGGGAGGGACACAGGACACAGGGCTGAGAGGGGCAGGGGATGGATAAGTAAAATGTATGGGTGAAAATGGAACGGGAAGGATGTGAGAGTTTTGGAAGGACAGGGAAAAGAGGTCAGTGAAGATGGCAAGGAAGAATGTCTATGGAAAGTTTGGACAGGAAAAGAAACATGAGGGTTTATAGTGGAGACACTCACCCATAAAAGCACCGACATTTCCAATCAGACTGAAGAGACAGCTCTCTGGGGGGTACGTCCCACACTTACTGATAAGACAAGAAATAAATATTTTGTAATTTCCACATAAGCGGTTACATTTTAAAGTACCAGGCAGAACATAGTAACCCACAAGGTATAATTAGGATCTCAGTAAAGTGGGGTAGAGCTCGGTGCAGTCCAGGATTACAACAAGGAAACTCCCTCTTAGCCTCAGTGAAGTGGTCACGGGTTCAGTTTGGGCTTTCAGCTGAGCAATTTGTATTACCTGCCTGTGAAATATTCATAAACCCCAGTGTGCTTGTCAGTGTGCATGGCTTTCCAGCTAAGCCGTATGGCCAGCCTGAAAATTCTCCATATAGCACTATGAGATTTCATTAGAGGATACAGGATATGGTATTTATATAGGAGAAACATAAAAGCTGACTTCTCATTCCATAAATGATGTTCCCTGGCTGTCAAACTGACTTTAATGCTTCAATAGATTGAGCAACTAACCCAGAACAATTATGCAGATAAGGCCTTCTAACTTTACTAAGACTTAATTTATATGCATGCTTGTTCCAGGTAGTGACTCAAAGTACTGAGGCTACTGAAAGTACTCAAAGTACTGAGGGACAGCAAACCCATCAGACAACTAAAATTTTCAGACAAAAATTCAACAATTGCATCCCCTTTGTCTCAGGAAAGGGTCATGCTAGTGCTGCAAACATTGATTCGGGTGTATATAAATTACTGAGCCACATTAAACATACTCTGCATTCTCTGCACCGTATGTAAGGTTGCATCAGTATGTGGTGGAGGCTTCAAGCAGCATGTGAACATCGCAGTTATCTTCTACAAACCACTGGGCAAGTCTAATATAAACAAGACTGACTTCCAGTAGGAAGCTGGTGCTTGGCCCATAAAGTGATGGGTTACCTCACTGATAAATCCTAAGACTAAAGAGAAGGTGAGGGGACTTCGTAGTGGAAGTTGGTGTTTGCACATTAGATGCTCTGAGTATTGGAATTTACAGGGCTCTTTGGAATGTAACAAGGGTTGTGGCTGCACTAACATTCTAGTAGAACTTTACACAGGAGCAATGAGTACAGGTACACCTTAAAGCCTGGCAAGGGGGGCTGGGACATTTAAATATGAAGAGCAGATGATCCCAAAACTGTAAGATTGGTGAGGAACACCTAAAAGGTATTCTGCAAAGATGCTGAGAGTAGGTAACCTGATGAGAGGGACATCCTCCAGAGTGCAGCAAGTCTTCGGTGTCCCCTGCTTGGCAGTGTCATCGGAGCACGTCACATTGTACGTCCTGAAAAAAAGGATCACCAGCAACATTACAAAAAAAACCCCACAAAAACATAGCCAAAAATTGTAAACTTTGCATATTAAAAACGTATAATCAAGAAAATGAGCAAAAAGAGGCAATAGAGAATGATGTCGCAGACAATTGTGCAATGAAAAAAAAGTAATAGAGTATTGTACCACGTTATCTGTCGATTTTATTCAGAACGTTTGGAGTTTAACTCATGCAAGTTTTCATGAGGATTTAAATCCCTTTTGCATGCTTTGTACTATAAAGCCTGAAGGAGGGATCCAAGTAACCCTAAAAGCTTGCTTTTTTAATAAGTTAAGTTGGCGAACAAAGGATATCACTTGAACTTCAAACTTGCTAAAAAAAAAATAATAGAAAGAAATACAGACACAACAGAGTGATGTCATAGAAAAGTATGGAAGAAGAGAGACACACATAAAAGCAAGTGGGGTCACGAACAAGTATGTAGTAAAAAGAGACAAGCAGTACAAAGAGTGATGCCAGAAAATGTGGAAACACACACATATAAGCAAGAATTGCCATAGAAAAGTGTGTAGCAAAGAAATTTTGCACTGATGCAATAGAAATGTGCATGTGATGAACACTGCACACAGCCTCTACACATATGATCCTGTGTCTTGTCTGCTCTTCTATTCAAAGTCCCTTTCTCAGTTTATTTTCCGCTCTCTGCAAGCAGAATTCTAACTACAAACCAGGCTATACCTTTCAGTTCCCAATACCTGGAAACAAAGCAGCAAAATTTGTATATTATGCATCCGAGTGTTTGTATTTACATTGGAGTCACTTGTCAACTTTGCAGATGGCTGCTGTACTGACAAGGAGATATCCTGGATGTACTCATCTGGCTCCCACTAGTGGCCTCTTGAGGGACTACATTGTATAAAGACCTCTAGAGAATCGCTTGCAGCCAATCAGGATATTCCAGTAGTGAACAGGGAGTAAAATAGATTTGCTTCCAGTTCACTCAAAACTAGCACTGGGCAGCTAGAATCCAAGGCTACTACTGTGAGCCAAGGTGTCTGATCCTCTACCCTAATTGAACTCAGTGACAGAATCTGACACGGGATACAGTCTTCTAGGCATACTTGTCCTTTTGCAATCTAGCTTAGGTCATTTTAATATTCTATATAATGCACTGGTTATCTAGTGGGGTGGAGGGGGAATCAACAGTTCCAAGGTCATTTGTTTTCTATCATCGCGACTATGTCTCTATTGCAGAGCGTCTACAGTTTTTGGAGTAGCAAGTACTGGCTTGTTAAGGTCGTTTGTTATGTTACGTTCTGCTTTGACTGTAAATCTGTGTTCTTTTCATTTTGCATCTACTTGAAACAGGGATTGCCTAGATGCTCTGTTTTTTTTATAGTTATACACAACTACAGATTCAATAAATAGATATTTAAAAAAAAAAAAAAACCTAGCACTGGGCAAGCACGCACGCACGCACACACACACACACGTATGTATATTTAATAAGCAAACATAATTCCTATTTAGAGTCATGCTGCACAAGAGAAGTTGATTAAATCTTGTGAAAATAGTTAATTGGACTTGACACAGAACCACTCTCCTGGTAACAAATAAAAGGAGTACAAAGGAGTACAGTGCAATACAATCATAGAAGACAATTTCAGTACAGCCAATTTGTGAACTGTAGCTTCAAGCAACCACTGAAGCAGACTAGAGGCTAAAGAGAACACTACTACCACTCGAGGTTTCATAATTCACTCTCAGATATTGCAAAGATATTGAATTATCCCTGTGAGAAATATAGCAAATTCTGAACCTATATAATCATCTGCAACTATATTTGCATCCAAGGTAAGAGAGGAGAAAGCACTATACTCTGGTGCTTGCAATTAAAAAAAAAATCTAGTAGGCAGTCTCTTTGTCTTGTCTTACGTCTTATGATACGGTCTCACTGTAATTTAAGCTAGCCATACATGTATAGATTTCACTTGTTCTCCCGAGGACTGAATGAGACACATCTAATAGATTTCCTTATCCACACAAAAAAGTATGGATGGATGTATCTCCCTTGCCAGTCTTGGCAAATAGATAAGCCCAGAAATCTCAAACGACATAGTTGCACTCTTTAGTGTGATGTAAAAGCTGGTCCCTTCAAGACTTGCCTTGTATAAAGCCGCCTTCTTAAAATATAATGCCTACCTTCATTCTGCCAAACAGACCTGTTTCATCACTCAATAACACCCTCCCATCCAGTCTTCATCAACTCTTTCTACCTTTAACCCTCTACTTTTATCCTCTACTGCCACTGCCCACTAGCTTGTTCACTGTCCAGGACATTGCCAGTCATTTTAAAAAAGACTGGTGAAATTCATGATAAGACTGTCACTATCCAGTCATCTCCACCATCACATACCTCACCACAAGTCCTTACTTTTGTCACTACAGAGGAAGCTGCTATACAGGTGAAACTCAAAAAAATAAGAATATCGTGCAAAAGTTCATTTATTTCAGTAATGCAACTTAAAAGATAAAACTAATATATGAGATAGACTCATTACATGCAAAGCAAGATAGTTCAAGCCGTGATTTGTCATAATTGTGATGATTATGGCTTACAGCTCATGAAAACCCCAAATCCACAATCTCAGAAAATTAGAATATTGTGAAAAGTTGCAATATTCTAGGCTCAAAGTGTCCCACTCTAATCAGCTAATTAAGCCATAACACCTGCAGAGGGTTCCTGAGCCTTTAAATGGTCTCTCAGTCTGGTTCAGTAGGAATCACAATCATGGGAAAGACTGCTGACCTGACAGTTGTGCAGAAAACCATCAATGACTCCCTCCATAAGGTGGAAAGCCTCAGAAGGTAATTGCAAAAGAAGTTTGATGTTCCCAAAGAGCTGTATCAAAGCACATTAATAGAAAGTTATGTGGAAGGGAAAAGTGTGGAAGAAAAAGGTGCACAAGCAGCAGGGATGACCGCAGCCTGGAGAGGATTGTCAGGAAAAGGCCATTCAAAAGTGTTGGGGACTTTCACAAGGAGTGGACTGAGGCTGGAGTCAGTGCATCAAGAGCCAACACACACAGACGGATCCTTGACATGGGCTTCAAATGTCGTATTCCTCTTGTCAAGCCGTTCCTGAGCAACAAACAACATCAGAAGCGTCTTACCTGGGCTAAAAAAAAAAAAAAAAAAAAAAAAAAAAAAAAAAAAAAAAAAAACACAGACCTGGTCTGTTGCTCAGTGATCCAAAGTCCTCTTTTCTGATGAGAGCAACTTTTGCATCTCATTTGGAAACCAAGGACCCAGAGTATGGAGGAAGAAGGGAGAGGCACACACTGCAAGATGCTTGAAGTCCAGTGTTAAGTTTCCACAGTTTATGTTGATTTGGGGAGCCATGTCATCTGCTGGTGTTGGTCCACTGTGCTTCATTAAATCCAGGGTCAACACAGCAGTCTACCAGGAGATTTTGGAGCACTTCATGCTTCCTTCCGCAGACGAGCTTTATGGGGATGCTGACTTCATTTTCCAGCAGGACTTGGCACCTGCCCACACTGCCAAAAGCACCAAAACCTGGTTCAATGACCGTGGGATTACTGTGCTTGATTGGCCAGCAAACTCGCCTGACCTGAACCCCATAGAGAATCTATGAGGCATTGCCAAGAGAAAGATGACTTACATGAGACCGAACAATGCAGAAGAGCTGAAGGCCGCTATTGAAGCATCCTTGTCTTCCATAACACCTCAGCAGTGCCACAGGCTGATAGCTTCCATGCCACGCCTCATTGAGGCAGTAATTGCTGCAAAAGGGGCCCAAACCAAGTACTGAGTACATATGCATGCTTATACTTTTCAGAGGTCCGATATTGTTCTATGTACAATCCTTGTTTTATTGATTGCATGTAATATTCTAATTTTCGGAGATTGTGGATTTGGGGTTTTCATGAGCTGTAAGCCATAATCATCACAATTATAACAAATCACGGCTTGAACTATCTTGCTTTGCATGTAATGAGTCTATCTCATATATCAATTTCACCTTTTAAGTTGCATTACTGAAATAAATTAACTTTTGCACGATATTCTAATTTTTCGAGTTTCACCTGTACTTTTCTTGGGCACCCAGCACCCCACCTGCCCCCTATTTCCAAACAACTTACCTCTTACTTACATCTTCAGCCTTCCCCTCTCTACTGGCATCTTTCCCCTCCCTTTTAAAACATGCCCTGGTCACCTGCATATTTAAAAATCCCTCACTGGACCCCTCTAGACTGAACAAGCTAAGACCCATCTCTTTGCTCGCAGTTATCTCCAAGTTCCTAGAACACCTAGCCTACAGCCATTTGAGCGGCTACCTTATAACAACCTTCTCAACCCTTTACAGTCTGGCTTTCTTCTACAACACTGCACACAAACTGTCCTTCTAAAACTCAATAATGACTTAATAACTGCAAAATCCAATGGACTCTACTCAGTACTCTTACAATTAGACCTTTCTGTTGCCGGCAACACAGAGGACCACTCACTCCACTTCAAACAACTCCACTCCCTTGACCTCCAGGCTTTGCTCTTTCCTGGTTCTCTCCTACCTAAGTGCTCCTTCTGTGTTATGTACAACTCCATCTCCTCCTACCCCAGAGGGGTCCCCCAAGGCTTTGTCCTCTGGCCCCTTCTATTCTCTATATAAACCTCTTCCCATGGTCAATTGAGAACCTCACACAGATTTCAGTTCTATGCTGATAACATGCAAATGTATCTTGATACTCCTCAGCTCTTCCCTTCAGTCTTCTTGCGCAGTCAAAAATTGACTTGTCAAGCTGTGTGGTTCTGAAAGGGTCACCCATGGCTCGAATTGTGACCAATTCAGTTGGACAAAACGCAAGCATTCCATGGCAGCCTTTACTGTAAAAGGAAAGCCAAAAGATTACTGACTGATCACTGTTGTTCTCCCACTGATAATACAAAGATGTCTCTTTGTTTTGACTAAAGCTGGCTATACAATGATTGGTCAGCCCCGACACAAAGCATCACTCTGATCTGTCCTGGAGCCCTTCTGATAGAAAAGAGAGAATAGCAGGGATGGCGTAGCATGTTTGTTCAGCTTTTCATTTTTTTCTGTAAAGGTGAATTAACCCTTTAAAAAAACTTTTTATCCTCATATTGTTTCTGAAGTTGATAAGTGGATTTGCAAGATGGGTTTTTATTAAATAATTCTACATAAGTTTCTGAAGCCTCTACAACTAAATCAACATAGGACTTTAAAAAGTATGATATTAATAAGCACTAGTTTAAATTTTATAGCATATTCACAAATATACTGTACATTAAAAACACATTCACACTGAGCAAACTGTACATGTTTTGCATAAAGTGGACTATGTGCTCTAATAGTCAATAAATTGGCAGTGGAAAAGAACAAAGAATGTACAGATGGGATTTACCAGTTTTCCACAGGACAAACATGATGGTTCATCACAGCCATGGCATACCTGGAATGGAAACAATATTAAATGTTAACAAGCTGCCATTCACAGTACCCCACACCATTTTCCACATCCAGATTAGAACTGTCACAGCTTATCACTCTGCTTTCCTAACCAGTAATATGGCCTGCTTAAAGAGAACCAGTCAAAACAGGTATTACCTGACCAGTTCAGAATCCCATTCACTGCTGGAAGAGCCCACTTGAAGTAGGGCCAGTTCTGGGGCAGGCACATCACTGATAATTCAGAAATGTGCTTTTACTCAGAACTTTCACCTCATTCGGGAAACAAGCCATGTCAGCCAAGCTGATGGAGAGGAGCCTCTGCTGTGAGTTGTAACAAAATTTCAGAAAACATGTGCTTATACAAATCGTAAGGCTGCCTTGCTGATGTAATGGTTTCAACACTTTGAGCTACTGACTTGCGGATTTTTTTTCTGGGTCAGTTTCTCAGAGTTTACTCTGGCTTCATCGCCACATACTTCCAAATCAGAAAGCACTGAAGCCAAAAGGATCAGCTTAAAAGGTAACTAGTTTTTCCAGACTGAGGTCCAAAACGGCAGCCCCCACATGAAATGTACAACTTTTCGTGAAGTTTAAAGAGTTTCTTTGGACCAAGCTAGTCAAAATAAACTATTTACTTCACTAAGAGATGCAGCAGATATGTGCATGATATAAACTGTGTGTAGCCACAGCCACCTACACTATACTGCACTGTGTTAGGGCAGCAAGGCAAGAACGTCCTGTTACACTCCCGCTGCTCAGCCATTCACAGGAAACTTTTTTTCTGAATGAATACAAGGCTTCCTCTGATTGGCTGAGGTGGAGATCACATCATCCACCTACCTCTCTGCCTCAGCCAGTCGGAGGAAGCTTTGTACTCATTCAGAAAATACAATGCTTCCTGAGAATAGCAGCACTTAGCCCAATTTGATTTTGTTCCAGGAGTAGGACGGAAAGTTCTTTTCCCACTGCTGGAGTCCAGTGCTGTATACTGTATATAGCTGAGGCTGTATACAGTTTATACAGCACACACATCCACTGCATATCTTAATGAAGTACATAATTTGCTTGGACAAGCTTGAACAAATCTCTGCTTCCCCCAGTAATTCCTGTACTGTCTGCAAGGAAAATAAACAAGGAGCTCCAAAATTCAATTCTTCATTTCTGCCTGAATAATGAAATCAGGTATCAATGTATGACCACTGGAAAACAATACTCTGTAGGTGTTACTTAAAGTGGGTGTAAAGGCTCAATGTTTTTTCCTTTATGCATTATATGTGCCCCCAGCCCCCTCAATACTTACCTGAGCCCCATCAAGATCCAGCGATGTGAATGACAGCCTCAGCTGTCCCAGGTCTCTGCCTCCTCATTGGCTGAGACAGCAAGCAGGAGCCATTAGCTTCCGCTGCTGTCAATCAGGCAAATCAGCCAAAGGGGGGGCAAACTGCAGCTCCATGTGTGAATGGACACACTGCTGTTTGCTGTGGGGCACCCAACAGAAAGGAGGAGCCAGGAGAGCCTGTGGGAAACCCAGAAGAAGAGGATCCAGGCTGCTCTGTGCAAAACCACTACACAGAGCAGGTAAGTATAAACATTTTTTTTTAACAATAAACATTTAGTATCGCTTTAATAAATTCTTAAAAACCCCCCCCAAAAAAACAGTAATTACTGAATCCAAGTAACTTGGAAAGATCTGATTTTTTATATGATGATAGTGTGGTAGTATACCTAGCAGGCCTTGGAATTGTTAGGTCTGATAGGACTGTGCTGTATAAAGGAGGTATATTTGAGAGCCCTCCTTTTTAAGGCAAAAATCCTCATTAATGGTTGCCTTGACACAATGAATACCTCTGCTACATATAATGTTGTAACTATTCATTTCTTTTTTTTGTCCACCCTGTACCAAATTGTACACAACTCTACCCAGGGATGTTCAAATCTTATCACCCAATGCCCGGGACATGCAGTCCCGGGTGCTGGGCAAGAAGTTCTTTTTACATTTAGCCCTGCTGCAGGGTTTACAACTGGCTGGTGGCTCCTTGTAAAAGCAATCTGAGTAGCTAGCTAGCCGCTGAATCGCTTTTACAAACAACAGGAGGGGGGCGTCTATTGCCACCTTCAGCGGGCAGTCCGTCCCACCGGGACACTCAATCAACCAGCCGGTGCTACCGCCAGCTGGTCATAGAGGCGGACAAAGATAGGAAACCAATTTATTCTCTAAGGCCTCTGCCACATATATAATGTTTGAGGGTTCTAAGAAATTTTCTAGCAAAAAAACTATTTAAAAAAAAAAAAAAAAAAAAAAAAAGTATGTTGCCACAAATTTCATTTTTAAATGCCATTCTGAAAAGATGACTAATAAAAAAACATCAACCCATCATATTTTCCATCCTTTTAGTCAGGACAAGTAGATTGTCATGAGGCAAAACTAGATTGGGACCCCAATTTTATCTCTTGGACAATTGGGTTTTTAATTTCCACATCCCTGCCAGCCACACAGCACTACCAGGCAGATGACACCACATTCCCTGTTACACTTATTAACTGTAAAAGAAATGAAGTGATGTCCTTTCCCCACCTCAGGCTGCTGATTGGACACAGTAGGGACAGCAACAGATGGGTAAGATCAATCTTCTGCTCACTCTGTTCTTGTCTCTACTCACCATGTTCCTTGTCAAAACATGAGCATTGCAACTCACCTGTTTGGCTCCTAATGTAGCCCCTTCCCCTCCTAGTATTGTAAAGCTGTATAGGGGATTGCAAAAGGCTCATAGCAAGTCGATTCAGTTATTTACACTAGCTGCACTAAAAATAAAAATATATACACACACAACAATGTATTAAAGAATTACTGAATGCAGCTGTGACATATCTGGCTTGAGTGCAGCTTTAACCCCAATTTTGCTCTGTTCCAGGATCCTCTAAGCTACAATGTACTTGCACAGGGACCACCGCAATAAAATCTATCGTAACAGTCAGAAGGCTTCTGTTACTACTTTAGAAACATTTTACGCCAGGTCAGGTCCTCTTTAATGGGTGCTTCTGGCCCCTTGGTAGATGTGACCAATGCTGGATCTTCACATAGACCAATTGTTAAAGAAATAAAGTTAAATAAAATACTCATGTATACTCATTTGCCATGCTACCAAACTTCATTCTGGTTTACAATGCATTGAGTACTAACATAGAAGGAACATACTCTTTATTATCTCCTTCCTTCTTGAACATATCTGACTGCACTACATACACAGCCTCGAGCCAGGGCTCAACCATTTCCAGTCACCATGGCAAAAAAAAAAAAACAAAAACGCAACTGGATTGTGCAAGGCAGACTGAGCCAAATCCTACCACCGTGTGAGAAAAGGAAACTTAGTTCAGTCTGTCTCATGCAATGCTGGCTGTCAATACAATACATTAGCTGCTACATTCTCATGCAGTGCCAGGTTTATTGAACGATAGTCCTGGCATTTCTGCCCCTGCCTGCCCACTAACAATTGCTATATCAACATCAAGTAGAAATCCCCAAATGCTCCCTCCCTTTTCTCAAACCGCCATTTGCCAGCTCTAGGACCATGAATTCTCTATGCTGAGAGAGGCTCAGTTACACAATGCAGGCAAGCAATTATTGGCACTGTTTATTATTATTTATGGTTTAAAGTTGTTCTACTGGTAAAGTAATAATCTGTTCTGTATTTTTTGTTAATTTGTTAAATGGTTAGCACTTCTGCCTGGCAGTACTAGAGTCGTTGGTTCGAATCCCAACCACAGCACCACCTGCCTGGAGTTTGCATGCTCTCCCTGTGCTTGCGTGGGTTTCCTCCGAGTACTCCTGTTTCCTCCCACACTCCAGAGACATGCTGGTAGGTTAATAGGGTTCTGTCTAAATTGATCCTAATATGTGTATGTATGTAAGTTAGGGACCTTAGATTGTACGCCCCTTGAGGGTTAGAGACTGATGTGAATGTACAATATATATATGTAAAGTGCTGCGTAAATTGGCGGTGCTATATAAGTACCTGAAATAAATAAAATAAAATCTGCTCATAATTTATCAGAACAAATTTTTTTTAACCGTTGCTTAATAATGTATCTTTCATCTACCTACATAGTGCACTTTGCTTACTACTGGCTCCTAGTTCTGGGTGAGCTTATTCCAGTCCTGCTCTAAGAAAATAAAACAGGTTCAGTACGGTAGCTACTCACACAATCCATATCCCAGGGATGGAGAATGCAGTCAGGCTGATGGGTAGGACAATCCAGCCAGTCATTAGTAAGGAAGGTCCGGGGGTCAAGGGAGGGGGATGAGCAGGCCGTACAGGAAACTCCAGGGCAAACCATCAGCAGATGCTACCAACCAGAGCAAAGGGCATTTCACTGACAACCTGCTGGGTGGAATGCATAAGTAATTAATGATAGATCAATCCATAACTAAATCCACAATGCCCTGACTGAAAACATTGACAAAGTGTTACTAAACCCACAACAGTAAAATCAGTCTGTATATGCAGTAAAGCATGCTTGTTATACTGACTGTGGAACCTAAGGGGTTAATCATCTGCATTGTGTAAAAAGGATGTTTGATCCTGACTTCTCTGATCCTCCCCTTCTTCCAGTGCACCCCTCTTATCCCCTGATAAGACATATCGTGAGGAGACACTACACATGCCCAGTTCGGTGTGTATTGCTATAGAGGTTTTTTTTTTCTCTTGGGAAAGTGCATGTGATGAGCACAGGGCCAATCAGCACTGCCCAGACAGAGGGCAGGGGTTCTGCATCCTCCTAGAGAAAACTCCTCCAATAAGCTTTAACCAGTGCTCTGCTGAACACTGATAGAAGCCAGAAGGCTGAGAAAAGGTATTTAGCAGTTTATATTTACTCAAATAATTGCATTTCCATGTTCAGTGTACTGCGGGAGACCAGATATAGTGAATGCAGGGGTCTGGGTTTAGTAACACTTTAACTTTCGTGCAAGTAATGTTGCAGATGACAGTCACAAAAGAATACTAAATCCATGTAAGTGGTTATTAACATGCAGCTTTATTCTTTGGCTGAAGCAAACTACTGAAAATACAGAATGTAACCTCTTGCTGACTACGTATATGTGGCAGAAAAGAGGATGGGTAATAATGCCAATATGTTGCGCATGTGTCCATGTGAGCCAAGCTTTCTGTACTGAGAGTGCACTACAAAGTCTGAGCTGTCACAAATAGCTCCCACTCTCTATTTATGGTCAGGAGCCACTAGGATGGGCTGTTGATCATGTAGCAGCCAATCACAGCGATCAGGAAGTCTGGTCCATATCCCAGACTTAAGACCCAGTTACAGGGCTGCCAGTAAAGGGTTTAAGTACACACGTATACTGTTTTACCTGCCAAAGGACTTGTAATTCTACTGAGCAAACCTTGTGATTTGCACTCATCTGCCACACGCCACAGTCAGAGAAGTGACACATTTATTTCAATCAGCTTTCAATGAGAACAATCTGCTACCCATGAGGGGTTATTTACTAAAGCTGAAGAGTGCAAACTCTATTGCAACTCTGCTTAACAACCAATCGATTTCCAGGTTCTATTACCAAAGCTTAACTGAACAAGCTGAAGTTAGAAGCTGATTGGCTACCATGCACCGCTTCTGAGTGCAACTGTTTTAGTAAATCCACGCCATTGTGTTAGTAGCATTTCAGTTGACAAAATTTTAGAACTATAATAACCATAACAGGATAATTTAATTATTTAATTCTGTGGTAGGTTATAGGACAGGAAGTAAAGGGAAATCTCTGCAATGGGACAAAGATGGAAACAACTGACAAGGGTTAGAGCCCCCCCCTTACCCTATCCAAAAGGAAAACAAAAATGTTGACTTTGCTTCCACTTCAAATACTCTTTTAGTTTAGGGGTGTGGGAATAAGGTTTATCACTTGCACTATCCCCGGCTCTGGCAGACCCCTGCACTATTCTTTTCTGTCTGTAGCTCCAGTCTAAATGTGGTCCCTCAGCATCATCATGTACAATGCAGCATTACTGAAGAGGAGGCAAGCTTAGGGAGGATGCTGCTTTGGACTGATTGCATGAATAGAGAAGCCTGCTAGATCCAGGAACAAAGTATTGCACCTTATCTATGTACCCCTAGACTAAATGAGCATTTAAAGTGCAGGGTACCACTGCAAGGATAGTTTGTGTGCTTCCCAGAATTCCGCTTTAAGATCACGCCTCTGGCAGCAACTTGCTATCCAACGTCAGGGACCCTAAAGAGTGCAAGCCACAAAATGCCAGCACTTTTTAAAAGGATAAATTAACCTTTTACACACAAATAATAACCGTATATTTTTTTGCAGGTAAAAAAATGTGCATTTATTATTTTTGGCTGCAGGAGCCTGTAAAGCATTGCTCCAGCAATCAGCATATCGCTGGTGCCATGCAGGTCTCCTGCAGACCTGTCATTATTCTGCTTGCCTGACAGGAAGATTTACCACGGGCTCCACATCGCCGTTGTAGTTCATTGAGAACTACAGGCAACAGCTGCTAAGGCTGTTGGGACTTGTAGTTCATTCATAGAACACTGTGAATGAAAGACACGGTCTGTTTTTGAATACTGACAGCTGGTTGGGGGAAACTTCTCCCCATAATTCTGTCACAGGGAGGGGTGTCGCAGCAGGTGGCGGCAGCTGCAGCATTGGGAACGTTACATGTTCCACCCTAAAAGCGAGTGGAACATGTAACATGTTCCCAAAGGTGAACTTATCCTTTTTAAGTTTCCGAGCTTTGAGTTTATTTCTTTATAGCAAGAACACAGATAAAAACCACTAGCCGTTGCTGTAACCTTTAAATGGTGATGCTAGACTGTTCCTGGAATTTGGAATTCTATTTTAGTTTCAGAGATTGTGGAGTATATCTTGAGTCAGTTCTTTACTGGATTATTTGGATTCAATAGACGCTAGGCTTTTATGGTGCCATTTCCTCACCAGCTCAAATGCTGCACAGCAGTAAAGGAGTGACACCACACGAACAGGAAAGTATTCTCTCAGAAATATGCTCTGAGTAAGAGGGGACACCCTTGAAACACGTCAGTGTCAGGCTTGTTGGATATTATCTGAGCACGTACAGCGGTTCTGGGTGAGCCTTTAATGCATTCACGTTTGTATGTCCACCTATTCTTATTTAAAGAAATGGTGCTTTAGATAATAGTTCCGTTCTGGGTACCAATTCACAAAAACAATAACGGGGAACTGGAGAAAGTACAGAGAAGGGGAACCAAACTGATAAGAGGCATGGAGGATATCAGCTATGAGGAAAGATTAGAAGAACTGAATTAATTCTCTTTTGCAAAGAGGAAATTAAGGGGGATATGATCAACATGTATAAATACATCAGTGGTTCATATAGTGAACTTGGTGTAGAGTTATTCACCCTGAGGTCATCACAGAGGACAAGGGGGCACTCTTTACGTCTGAAGGAAAAGAAATTTAATCTCCAAATACGGAAAGGTTTCTTCACAGTAAGAGCTGTGAAAATATGGAATAGACTCCCTCAAGAGTTGGTTCTAGCCAGCTCAGTGGATTGCTTTAGAAAAGGCCTGGATTCTTTCTAACCCTAGGTTCACATCTGTGCGGGTGGTGCCGCTGCGGATCCGCACGAAAATCTGTGCAGCCGCACCACCCGCACAGAGAAATGCGGACCTGCGGGCGAGTGCCATTAGTTCTAATGGCACGTCGCCAGCGCTGGAAAAGGCAACCGTACTGAGAACCAAGGTTCCCGTGCAGGCTGCGTTTTCCAAAGAAGTGCAGGGACTTCTTCCCTGCGTGGCACGGGAGTCCATTGAAATGAATGGGGGCTCTCGTGCCTGTGCAAAACGCGGCCCTCACGGCCGCATATATGTGAACCGGGGGTTAGATACACAGAATATAACTGGATACTAACATTAATAGGTAAAGCTGATCCAGGGAATATCCGATTGCCTCTCGGGGGATTAGGCAGGAATTTTTTCCCCTGCAGGAGCAAATTACATCATGCTTTGCTGTGGGTTTTTTTTTTTGCCTTCCTCTGGATCAACTGTGGATCTACAATAACTTTTTTTTTTTTTATGGTTGAACTAGATGGACTTTTGTCTTTTTTCAGCCAGACTAACTATAAACGCATTAGGCCGGTAGGCCCTCTTTTGGTGTTCAGATCCTAAAGGTGTGGTGTGCCGCGGCGCATGCCCGTTATCAAGGCGCATTGGGCTTAGGGATGAGCTCAGGTGTTCAGATCGTAGTCCCAACCCTCCAGAGCGATCCCACCAGGAAGCTGTCATTGCACAGTGCTAATCATAAGTGGCTGAGGCATACTCCATCCTGCAGCGGCACATATACACACCCTTTGTATACGTACAGCTGCGGGGAGTGCCTCGGCTCCTTATGATTGGCGCTGTGCAGTGACAGCTTCCTGGTGGGATTACTCTGGAGGGTTGGGACTACGATCTGAACACCTGAGCTCATCCCTAAGGCCAATGCGCCTTGATAACGGACATACACTGCAGCACACCACCCTTTACAGTAACGCACTATCGTGTGCATCACAAAAAAATAGCGCAGGTGTTTTTGATGCGGTAGGCGGCCCATGTAAATTAATCATGTGCTGCAACACACATTAATGCATGCAAGACCGTGTATCAACATGCATGTGTTACTGCAACACAACAGAAGGAAGCCAGCCTAAGCCTGACAATGTGATGACTGGGGAGCCCCTATTATAGGAAGTCTATATGACCTGAGGGAGTGACACACACACACCGACAACGATTCAGCACAGCACACAGGCCGCCCACATACACAGGACAACACACAGTACACGGTGAGCTCAGGAGGACAGCAGACTCCAGCTTAGAACGGGGAAGGCTGTGTCTTCCATCTTGAGAGCTGTCACCCTGCCTAATGCTGCATATCACTTGTTACAATGGCACTCCTTCCTCCATTCACACACACAATATATCTGACACAAAAGCCAGGGTGACCCCGGTATACACACCCGCTCCCCGCTGCCCCCGAGTCCCCCGGAGCCTCCACTGAGCAGTCAGTCCTTCAACTCATTAAACTGCTACTGACCGCGGTAGCTCACGGGAATTGTAGTGCGGAAAACCACCAAACGGTGCGGCAGTGAGGTACTACCAGGACTACATTACCCGGCGTGCCTTCTGCTCTCACCGTCACGTGACTAGAAAGCGAGTTACGCTAGAGCGTCCTTACGTTCCGTAGTTTATTTTGGGCTGAAGGCACCTGTGGCGTCATGGGGCG